GCTTTTTCCTACAACGCCCAGGAAAGGAGCCATGGCCTGGTATAAGAGCCTTCCGGATGAATCCATCACGTCATGGAAGAACCTGGGACAACAATTTTCCAGGCACTTCATAACACTTCTCCGACATCCCAAGTCGGAAGCATCTTTGGAGGCGATCATCCAAGGGAGATATGAATCCATTTGGGAATATATCGAGCACTTAAACAAGGAAGCCGTACAAGTATCTACAACCGACGGCATGAAAAAGTATCTCCTCGAGCGCGGGATCCGTACCCACAATTACTTTGCCAAAGTAGTTGGCATCGAATCACCAGCCATCCATGATGCCCTCCTGCTCAAAGCATAAGCGCACATCCAGTATGAGGAGAAGGAGGCAACTAAAAATGCGAGGGACTCGCGACATAAGGAGAATGTCAAAGTCCCAAAGAATGATGAGCCCTTGACATCTCTTCGGGGAGGAGAAAAGAAGAGGGAGGATAAATTCTAGGATTCTAAGGACTACCAGGGGCCAGCTGGGCACTTTCATGACTACATCCCCCTTAACTCTTTGTGCGAGCGGATTCTAACAGAATACGCTAACTCGGAGTTCAAGCAAGCTGGGGTGCACTTTCCCCGTCAGACACCATTCAAGCCTAGGACGGACAAAAGCAAATATTGCAGGTTCCACAAAAGTCAAGGGCACAATACAGACGATAACATCCACCTGAAGGATGCCATTGAGATACTCATGTGGGATGGGAATCTCAAATAATACAAGAATAAGGAGAGTGCCCGTGAAGAAGCTCAAGAGTCCAAGAATATGGAAGAAGATAAGCTTTTCCCTGATGAGAGCCTCGTGCTTGTCGCCTTGAGCATCACCAGACCTGAGGACTTCTACTTCCCCGACATGGACGAAGTTCCTCTATATTTTGCAACCCATTGCCCCTGGGAGACATTTCCAGCGGTGATGGTTATATCTGAAGGAGGCTTCAACAAGTGTATGGTGGACTCGGTCAAGAGAAGATTCGACCAACTCATGGAAGTTAGCTCCGGGAAGAGTTCCACGCTCGACAAATCCAGTGGGAGCTTCATCCCCATTGCATTCTATAGAAAAGAGTTACCCTATGGGACCCCTAACTCTAGTATTCCTCTTCTCGTGAGAGTAAGAATGGCCAACTTTAACGCCAGCTAAATCTTGGTCTACCAAGGTAACTCAGTGGACATAATATGCTCCTGACTGTTTACCACTATGCAGTTGAAAGAGACCCACCTGACCCTGCATGTTGGCTCTGACCTCTAAGTCTTCAACAGTTATGTCACCAAGCCTTGGGGATACGTCGAGTTGTTCATCACCTTCGGGAAGGCCGAGTGTTCTAGGTCCATTAAGATGCAATTCCTCGTGGTGGACTGTCCTTCATTATATCAAGGTATTTTTGGAAGGCCCATCTTGGCCGAGTTGATAACATTTCCCTCCACAGTACACCTGAAAATTAAGTATTCCACCGAGCACGGACTCGTCGCCACCCTTCACGAGGACATTTAGATGGCTCAAATATGTTTTGAAGCTTCTTCCAAAGGACTAAGCTCCATCAGCACTTAACCCAAAACAGCCAGCGGATCTTCCCTGCCCAACAATTTAGAGGATGCGCATCCATTTCCACACATCGATGCAATTGACCTCGACAGCAGGTTCACGAAGGAAGATCTCTGAGATCTATTGAGAAAAGGAAAATGCCCCCTACTGGAAGCAGAAAGCTCCTCCTCTATGATTAGCAAGGAGCCCGCGCACCCTGTGGTTCTAATCCCAGTCAGGGATTTTGAAATCGTTCCCTTGGGAAACAATCCATCCAAATGAGTAAAAATCGGTGCTGACCTCCGCGACTTGGTGAAAACACAGTTAAAGACATTATACAGTGAATTTACCGTTTCATCGATTTTTGGATGCATAAAAATTCATAACTTCTGATTGGAAAATCATCTTTGAGTGCCTCTGGTAGCTTTTGAATCGTCTTGTTATTTCCTTTAAGTTTGGTGTTCGGCTCGGAAGCCAATTCATTGAGGAAGATCTCAGAATTTGCGAGTACTTTGAGGTTATACTGTGCAAAAATAGTGAAAATAGTGTGCTGAACCGTTATTTTTCGGATGTTCAAAATTTCATAACTTTCACTCGGTTCAACATTTTCAGATGGTAATTTTGGGCGAAAAATTCATCTTGATTTTATCTTCAATTCGTATGTTCAGGTCAAGAGCTAATTCTTTGTATGAGATCTTCGAAAGTGGTAATTACTAGAGAAAATTGCATGCCAAAATTGTTTTCTACCAGACTGTTTTTCGATATTATAAAAATTATAACTCTCTCGATTTTTATCTTATCAAGATGATTCTTAAAGCGTGAGATAAAATTTTTTGTAAGCATCAACTTTACTTCAGGGTCCGAGTTCAAATTGTGCTTTGAAGACTTAGGTTCATGGCTCGCACCCGAAAGTGCGCACAAAAATAAGGTGAAATTCAATACAGTTGTAATACCCTAAATTTGTCCTACCCTTTCATCAAATCATATGAATTATGCATCTCATTCTCACCATTGTATATACCTCCCATTAGGTCATCTAATACATCATGCATCATTAATTAATCAAATGGGCATGTGATCAAGGGTATTGAAAAATTAAGGTTTCTTTATGGCTTTGAGGCTCTTATCTTCATTCAAGAGATTCAACTTATTTCTTCAACAATCATGGTTGAATATAGGGTTTTGATTCATGCTTATTATGGACTTATCTCTTATTAGGCTACAAGGGTATCTTCCTCCAAGTTCATCAAGAGACACAGTCATTTGTATTGAAGTTACTTCAAGAACTAAGTGTATTAGGATTGTGAATGCTAGGGTTTCATCAAGGATTCAGATAAAGATATTTTGAGCTAGAGCTTGGTTTCTTATCAATATCTCAATGTCACTTCTTCACCAAAGTGCATCTCAAAAGGATTAAGGTTCTTATCCATGGAATTTTAATGTATTAATTCATCGGTTGATGTTCATTGGACTCACATGTTATGCTATCTTGTTCATTATTCTTCCCATGTCTCAAGTTTCATATTCATTTTCAAAGTTTCGTATTCATTTTAAAAGGATTCCTCAAGGCATGGTCACCGTGTTACAGGATAGGATTTGTGGATTCAAGACATCAATGTTATTCTTTCAATTGATTGTTTCTTATAATGTAAGTTAATATGGATTTAAGATTTGGAATTGTAGTTTCATTGAGAAGTGAGAATTGATTTGAATTCATTCTTTGGAAGTACTCATTCAAGCTTTTAAATATGTTCAAGTTAACTAATTGAATCAATGTTCTTAAGATGCAAACGTGTTAAGATTGGTCATATGGATTTCTTGAAAGATAAGGCACAAATTATAAGGCAAAGGCATCAAAGTTACGAAGGAGTTCATTAAATTCACAGCCATGCCTTTCGTTCATTCACATCAAGCCATATTCCATATATTCATTCAAGTTCCAAGCTATATTTCATAAATCATTCAAGGTTTCAATCAAGGTTCATCAAATCTTATTCAAATTCATTCAAAAGGCATACAAGTTATAACCCGTTTTGCTTTACGCTTTTTAATAGTTATATGAAGGAAAGAAATTACTAGACATGTTCTACAATCAAAGTCCATGAACCTGACCCTAAGTCTAAGTTTCCTTCTAAAAATAGTGCCATGACTAGGTCTCAAAGTAACAAAGTTGGTTCAATTTCTTCATACCCTAAATGCATTTGCTTCCATCTTTAAACTCTTTGCTCAAATTCCAAGTTAACCATGCTTTTTCCTTCAAGCCATGACTCTTAGCTCACGATTCACAAACTCGCAACCAATCTAAGAAGTTATTTCATACTTGCACATGACCTACATAAACCATGTTTTCCTTAAAAAAATCCAAGTCGAAGCAGTTATTCACATGAACCAGTTCACAATAAAAAAAGAATTTAACCTACATCCCAAACTATCAAAGTAAAACCAATCAAACTTGCTTTAATACATACCTGTCCAACATTAAACCTGTCCATAAATCAGAGCCAATATAATATTTGCTTCAATTCAAATAATCAATCAAAAGAAATCGATTCCTGCACATTGCATAAACAAACTCTTGTCTCAGCCACAATACAAACAACCTGCATAATAAAATTAGCAACATGTGGAAATAATAGGAAAAAAAATCAGAGGATTAAGTCGGAAATTAAACAAAACATTCTAACAGAAAAAAATCAATAACAACTAACTGTCCTAACTGATTTCGACAGCTCAGCAATAACTAACAGAACTCCTGCTGATATAGCAGTTTTCTAACCAACATAACTGACAATTTTCTAACCCTCTAATTAATTCAAACAAACTTCCTAACTATTTTCAAACCAAATTTCTAACAGATATAACATTTCAGAAGGGGAGGGGTTCAAAAAAACCAGAAAAAAACTCACTGAAAAATCTATAATAAACTTCTCTTTAGATTCTTCAATCTCTCTGCGCAAGCTTCATCTAGATTTTCTCTGCAACGAATCTCTCTATCTCTGAAACTTCCATCATCTCTCTATCTCTGAAACTTCCATCATCTCTCTCTCTCTCTCTGCAAATCACAATCAACCTTCCTTGTGTTCCGCACCTTACACCTTCATCATCTTCTTCTCATTGCAACACCTTCCTCACTAATCCTCACTCTCCCTAAATTGATTCTTCACATCTTATGTCTCCATCTTCATCATCATCTCTTTGCGTTCACCATCAGTAATACCATTACCTTCACATTGTCTTCGCACACAAGGACACACAACTCAAAAATCACTCAAAAGTAGAAGAAGAAGGAAGCATCACAAGAAAACGAAAGAATTAAAGATTTTGTACCTCAAATACAATTCGACATCTCTGGTTTTCTTTCCTGTTCGCCGTCATAAAAAATGCATCGGACGGTCTCCAATTGGTAGGCTCTCTACTCTTGATTGGTACTATCTTTTACTAGTTTTTGCTAGCTAGAATTTGCTTCCCATTTATTTCTTCCTCGAATTATCGATGTCGTTGCTAGATCATGAGTCCCTAAGTTGTAGTTCTGATCGGAGCTTCGATTGAAGCCTTTGCACTGGTCTAACATTGATTCAAACGGAGACGGAAGCTTGAGGATGGGATAAGCGAAACCTGAACCACGGCGGAGTGGATTAGGATGAGGTCGTAAGGTAGATGGAGATGAGGACGACATAAATGGAGGCGATGCGGTGCGATGAAGACGATGGCTGCAACGGTGATGTTTTAGATCAGAGAGGGCGAAGGAAGATAATGTCGGTGCTCTTTGAAAGAGAATAGAGGAAAAAGTTTGTTTGCATTTATCGCGAAGATGAAGAGTCGTTACTTCTGAACCCTAAGCCCTCTTTACGTTTTTTTTGTATTAATTTGATTATTAATTTTATTTTTTGAATAAACAAGTATAAAATAAAATAAAAAATCTGAATTAGACCTTGACTAGTGAGATAGGGATTGGACCGAGTTTGCTATCTCCATGAGCCCATGAACCGTTTTTTGGCATGTCTGAAGTTTATTATAACTAGTTCTCTACACGAACTTAGTTGGCTTGGGCCTAACGCCCAGATCTCTATTTGTTGGTTCACACTTCAATACTGATTTCAGCACCCCCTTGAGTTTAGATTTTTTTTATATTGCATTTTCTTTATTATTTGTTATAAGAAAGTTGATGATAAAAAACTATAAAATCAATAAAACTCTTTAGATCTTCTTAGTTGATTTTTAGGAACCAATTCTCTAGTTTTGATAGGTTCTTTTATATAATAAAAACAATAAAAAATGGTAGAATATAATAGAATTTTTCTAGAAATTCTTTGATTCATTAATAGAATTTTCTTCACATAAAAAACTAATAAAATACCTTTTTCTTTTAGTTTTTATTCATATTTTTATACCGTCGTGCCTCGTTATTTTGTATGTATTTATTCATTTTGCAAGGTACATTTTTGGTGCTTTTAATCATGTAACATAACAATTTATTATATGATCGAAGCATATGGCTTATGCTCGCTTTCGATGCGACACGCCTTATTTCTCATCGTCTTGAGAAGTTTATATCATATTATATGTTGTCCAGATTCATGTGTTATTTTGTGATACTTTGTGCAGGAACTTCTGATTATACGTTGCATTCGCAACACGCGTTTGCTTTTGTCTTAGTTTGATATCATTTCTGACTTTGTTTGTTTCTTGGTGAAGCTTGCTCGACGCGTACTCCCTGCTTCTCTAGCGCTTTTGTCTGCTTTTGATGATTCACTTTCTTTTGGTAGTCCATGCTACTACTTTTATATTTCTCCGCACTTTATCGCATTTCTTTACCGTTTTTCTAGAGATCATGAGAAGTAGGAACTTTATTGCTTTCTTATGCCATGAGAAGTATGATAGATATGTATGACGGGGGTCTCCGTTGCTAATTATGTCAAGAACCCATCTGGTTTATTTAACGACCCATTTAGGGCAATTCTGCATTGTTTGCCATTGTGTGCTACTTGTGTGTAGTTTGTTTAAAACCCTACCTTGGTGTAGGTATTTTTCTGGTGTGTTTATATTTGTGCCTGCATTTATACCCCATCCCTTATTGAAGTCCTCAAAAGGAGGCGAGCGGAGAGGGTTCGCAATCAACCCTCACATTTCATTTGTGTCATCCTTAGCTCGTGACACACTATGATGCTTTGGACTTTTGCCTACTCTCGTTATCGAGTCATCAAGTGGAAAATGGTTTCGCAATCAAACCCCCACACTTTGTCAGGAGTTTTCATAGGCCGATGTTGATACTCTGTGATTGTTCATATTGCCTTATGTCGCCTACCTTGATCTTTTATATCTTTGTCAGGCGTTTAGTCGCTTTAGACATCATATTTTCGTTTTTTCATCTCACTCCCGCTTGTTTATCTCGGGTGATACGCTCCCCTTGGCTAAAGCATTTCACTTCTTTTCTTTACCATTTTATGTGTGTGCTCTTCCGAGCTTGTTTGTTTACCTGCTTTCTATACCATGTTCCTTTAGGACGTGCTTGTTCCTTTCGGATGCAAGTTAGACCTTATGTTTAAAACCATGCATGCTAACATAGACTAGAGACCTCCCTTTTATCCTTAACCTCAGGATTAACAATTGTATGATAACACTAGGATTAGAAATAGGCTAGTCTCTCATAGACTCTTTTCTTTCCCTTTTTGCATATGCATTTAAAACTAAAATTTCCTTTTTCTTGGAAAATCATGAAACATGCTAATCACACTTAAACCCTTTTTCAAGGTAACAAAACACAAACCAATCAAATGTGGCATCTTTCCTTGAGGGAATAACTCAACACCATTTTTAGGCAAGGAAATGTTAATTTACTTCTGCACCAACGCGTGAGTCTCCAAAGGTCAAGTTGCGGCAGAAGGCAAAATTAACATTGTTCATAAAAAATACAAAACAAACAAAAACATGTGATCCGAACTACGATAACTCTGATTCCTCAAAAAGGATACATAGGCATTGAGGTAGGGTCCAAGCGAGCACAACTTTATTTTCCCTACATTATTTTCTCATTTCTTTTACATGCATTCTTCCTCAGTAATAAGAAATAAACATGGATTGAACACACCCTTCGATTAGAACAAAAAGAGTGGATACCATAGAGTACTACAGGCGTGTAGGGTGCTAATACCTTCCCCTCGCATAACAGACTCCCTTACCCGATCTCTCGGTCGCAAGACCGTAACTTCTCCCTTCTTAGGTTTTCTCGATGTTCACCTTTTTCTTCATGTGGGATAAAAGATGTTCGATGGCGACTTCATTGTTTGATAATTTTAAACCGGTTGTTTCAGCAGGCGGCTTCATTAGGGAGAGATCGACCAATTGTTGGTCCATCCCGGAGTTACTCCTAGCTCTTGTTTTCTTTTCTTTGGGTGTTTATTTTTATGCTTTCAGTTTATTCATTTTGTACATGTCTATCTGAGCATATGTTTGCATTTCATTTTACTGTTTTCCATATTGATTATCTATTGTGTTGGCTTCTATTTTTCCATGTTAGGTGGGTGTTACTATGAGGTAAAAGGCCCAATACCCAGGCCAAGTGACAACCATATGAACCCTAGGAATAGAGTGGAACATGAACGGCTAGTCGAATTTGGTTTTCTAGTGCGGTCATGTCGTCCATGCTCAGATGAGATTACAAATAAGGTACTATCAATTCATGTAGGTGTTTCGACGATAGTGGCTTCAGGTGTACCCATAATTCTGAGTTACCCTTGCGTTACCCTGACCTAGTTTCGCCTGTGAGTGAGGAGGGATGATTGATTCTTACAGGTACTGTTGGTGACTTGTTCAAATAGTAACCATATGTTCTGTTGGTGACTAGGAGGTTCTCAGATTTATTCTCTAAGTTCTGGATCTAATGTTTATGGGGTTCTTCCAGTTATGTTCTGAACATGTGATCTTGGTACTAGCAGGCTATGCAGGGACAGTACAAAAAAATCAGTATCATGGAAGTAGTAATCCGATGATCACTTGCATTTACATCATAGCATATTTACTTTAAAAAAAGAAATGTGAGAAAAATGAAACTATATACTAACCTTGCATGTGCATGTCCATTCCGGGGTATCTCACAAAGTTATATCCGTCAGTAACATCTAGCAACAGTGATGTTCCCAAGAGGACCAGAAGAGACAATTTTACTTATTTGTTTCACTCAAGTTCTTGGCCTTCTATAGACTCCACTTCAGTTTTACGACCATGAATTAGGCTATTCCATCTTCCAGGACTATCAGATCGCTCCAACTTTGGAAGAGCATTCTCATTTGCTCAAGATCACCGAGCATATGTCATTCGTTGTTATTATGAACGAGCCCAATCTTGAAGTTGTTGCTAAGGAACTTTATTTGGGGCCTTAGTGATGTGAAACAAATATGGAGAAAGAATAGTATTCTACTCTTGGACCTCTTGGTCGATAAAACAGAAGAAACGGCTAAAGACGATACTTGATACGCGTTTAATGCATTGTTAGCTGCTGTAATTTATGGCACGATTCAACAAGAAGATTGAAAATATCAAAAAGGGAAGGTTAAAGGAATTAATGGGGGAGAAAACATCATGTCGCAAACAAAGAGCATGCTAATTTGTTGACTAGATTCCATAGTTTGGAGATCATGATAGTCAAGAAGGATGAGGTAATTCAAAGTCTGGTTTTGAACACTTAGGGTGTAGTCCGTTGAATTCTTTAGATCTAGGAGATTGATTATTGTATTTCCTATCTTATTGTTCCGATTACCACCAGGCTTGTTGGGAAGAATCGCTTATTATGTATTTTCTTAACTTTCTTGTATTGAACTCTGTTGGGATCTCATATTTCCATTATTATATGAGTAATGTTGGATATTTTCTTTATATGGTTGTTCTTATTATCATGTTACTCGATTATTAATGACGTTGATTGAGCTGTGAAAAATCGAAATGGACAATCATTTCATACATCATACATATCATGCATTTCATGAATTACATGTTTTCTGGCCAAAATTATTATATGTTGGTTTTTCTTCTTATTATCAGAATCTACAAGATGACTTCCTTACATCCTTATCGCAATCGAACCAACGCTGAGGATTATGGAGCAGATTGAGCAGAACTAGACCGCACTCTGCAAAGACATGGACACCATGGGTGATCGAATGAATCAGCTCATGGAAACTCTTCATGCCGTCATCCAGGCGCAGGAAGAACTCAGACAAAGCATTACTAAGCTGGATGACAGTGCTTCTACATCCGAGAATGGTGGAACCAAGTATGACAATGGAGGAATCCCTAAGGAAAACCCTCAGATGATTGTGGATGATCACCATGATGTCATCGATCTCGATGGCCCTCCAAAGGATTCTACAACTGATTTGCCTAAAACGACCAAAATGGACAAGGCTTTGGAAGAACGTTTGAGGTCTATGGAGGCTTCCAAAAGGCCGAGATTCAGTGCTTCTGCTATGTGTTTGGTTCCAGGGGTCGTGATTCCACCAAAGTTTAAAGTCCTGGAATTCGACAAGTATAAGGGGGTTACATGTCCAGAGACCCATCTCCGATCCTACTATAGAAAGATGGCCGCATATGATAGCAACGAGTCGTTACTCATGCATTTCTTTCAAGATAGCATGGTTGAAGCTCCATTGGAGTGGTACATGCAGTTAGAGAAAACTCATTATAGTACTTGGGGCGAGCTTGTTGATGCTTTCCTACAACATTATCATTACAACACCGCCATGGCGCCTATCCATGCACAGTTGCAGAGTATGGCTCATAAGGCTAATGAGTCTTTCAAAGAGTATGCCCAGAGGTGACGTAGTTTGGCCTCAAGGGTTCAGCCTTCTCTCCTGGACCATGAACTGGTAGATTTGTTTATGAGCACCCTCCGAGGTCCGTATTTGCAACACATGCTTGGCATCACTTCTGATTCCTTTTCGGATATGGTTATCATTGGGGAGCGGGTTGAAATGTGTATTAAGGCAGGGACTATTGCAGGTACAT